GCCATACGGTGGCCGGTCATCCATAGGTTAGATGTTTACGGCAGAGCTCTTATAAGTTGAGCGATGCCCTCCCTGGGCCCTCAATGTTTGATGCTCCTTAGAAAGCTTTCGTGTGTCGGCCGTCGGTGTAGCCCCACGCTGGGGGATGTGGGGGAAAGGGACCAAAGGAGATTGGGGAGGTCAGGATCCAAAAGAAGGGAGATGGGAGGTTCTGATGTAAAAAGGAAGTGGGAAGGTCAAGCTACGGGTGTCCATTTTCTGGCGAAAATAAGAGATTAATTTTTCTAAACAATCACTCCTGATTGTATGTGAAGCCCGTACAATATATTCGCTCTCACTGGAGGTATAGAATGAAAGTCTAAGATACGGCCTAGTGAGATGTTATGGGAGGACTGACGCCATATTTTTGGATGATGTACGACATGACCTAAATTAAACTTTCATGGAGACAAAATATATAATTTTCGTTATTTTTTGAGAAAATGACGTGAAAATCATAAAATACATGGCTGGAGTCTTGAATACATTAGTAATAAATAAAGTTAATTGTTAATATACATTGAACTATCGCATCACCAGTAGACGACTGCTAATAGACGTATTTTTTTCGTTTATTCATTGAAATGTGCAACAACTGAAACGCGGCACCGGCTCGCCGTAGAGTTTCTGATATTATTCACGTAGTTGGCGGCCGGGCGTCGCGTGTAATGGCTTTCCCTCGTCCTGCTGTAATCTGTGATTGCTGGCTAGCCCTCCTGTCCCCCTCACGTCCCCCTCACGTCCCCCTCAAGTCCCCCTCACATCCCCTTTACGTCTCCCTCACATCCCCTTGCATCCCCCTTACTTGCCCCTCACGTCTCCCTCAAATCCCCCTTACGTCTCCCTCACATCCCCTTGCATCTCCATACTTGCCTTTCTCTAGCCTACACTTCCTCTCAACTTCTCTCTAATTTTTTCATTTACATTACTTTTCACTCACTTCCATCTCTCAATTCTCTCCTACTGTAGTCTCTCTTCTTTCACCATATTTATGTAGACTTGCAGGCCGTATTAATTATTAATAGCTGACTTGCACGCCGTATTAATTATTAATAGCGGACTTGCAGGCCGTATTATTTATTAATAGCTGACTTGCAGGCCGTATTAATTTTTAATAGCTCACTTGCAGGCCGTATTAATTATTAATGGCTGACTTGCAGGCCGTAGTGATCGCCTTCCTATTTTTTAGGGAGGCGAATGAGGGAACAAAATGAGGGAATGGGAGAGTGAGGGAAAGTGCATCTTGAGTGGGGTTCTCAAGTTGATTAGATACAGCAGGAGGTGCGAGGGTTGAAGGGGAGGGTGGGAAGGGGAGGCGAAGAAGAGGGAGAAAGGAAGTAGAAGGAAAGAAAGGCGACGACGAAGAAGAAAAGAGGAATGGAGGTGGGGAGAGATTACGACAAAGTGGAAAAGAGGAGCAAAGGGGGGTGGGAGAGACGAAGAAGATGAAAAAAGTGGGAAGGGTGGGGAGGCGAGGCGAAGAAGAGAAAAAGAGGAAAGAATGGAGAGGTGCGACAACGAAGAGGAATATAAGAGGGAAGATGAGAAGGGTGTGGAGGGATTACGACGAAGAGGAAAAGAAGAAGAAGGCTGGGGAGGGATGATGAAGAAGAGGAAGAGGAAGGAGGGGTGGGAGGTGTGGTAGGGGTGCGGTGGAAAGACACTTTCGTCTCAGCTGATTGGAAACGCCTGCGTAACCCCCAAGGGCCGTATATTGGGAGATCCTTCCCCTTCCTCCCCACCTTCCCCATGATATGTCCCCCACGAACTCCTGCACATGCATTTGCTTATGTTCATGCGCAAGTAACCTACTTATGTTCATGTACACGTATCCTCCGTATTATTTTAATCTACGTACATGTACACGGCCGCTTCAATATTATTTCATTCTACGCTCAATAGCAACTTCACCAAAAGTCGTATTTAACCTTCTTGTAGCTTCTAATTCATATCTTTATTTTTATATCTACTTATCACTGAATAATGTCGAGCAGGGTTGCTCCCGCAAGTTGTATGCAAATTCCACATCAAGTTATGTACGTACAGCTTTTTCCAATATCATCAATCCGCCAACTCTTCCTTCTCCCTCTCTTTCCCCATCATTCCCTGCAATCTCAAATCTCCGTCTCATCCCCCACTTCACTGCATGTCCCGCTTTTTCCTCTTCCTTATTGCTTTTTCTTCCATCCCGTAGGTTTCCACTATACCTCCCCAATCGCCTTTAATTCTCATTCTTTTTCTCACCGAGTCCAATTTATCCTTCAACATTCCCTCTTCCCTTCACTCCTCTCTTTCCTGCCCCCTCACTCTCTCATCCTCCTTCTAACGCTCCTCATCCTTCCCCATGGGGCGGGGATGCTGGACAGATAATAATGTAATTTGGAAATAATGGACGGCGGCCCAACTTTGGAGATGTGTAAGGCGGGTGGGGTGGGGGATAGGAAATGGTGGGGGAAGGGTAAGTGACTGGGAAATGGTGAGAGAAGGGTGGATGGATGGGAAATGATGGGGAAGGGTGGGTGAGTTGGAAATGGTGGTGAAGGGTGGGTGACTGGGAAATTGTGGGGAAGGTTGGGTGACTGGGAAATGGTGGGGAAGGGTGGGTGACTGGGAAATGGGGGGGAAGGGTGGGTAGATGAAGAAATTGTGGGGGAAAGGTGGGTGGAAATGAAATGATGGGTGGATAGAGAAGGGAGGGTGGGGGATTAAAAACGGGGGTTGGGAGTAGGGGTAAGCGGATGGGGAAGGGAGATGGAGAGAGGTGGGGAGGTGAAGGTATGGGATATGAAATGGAGAGTGGGAAAGGAAGGTAGGAGGATGAGGAACGAAAATAAGGAGATGAGAAAGAGGATTAGGGAAGAGATGGGGAAGCCCCTGAGAAGCTGTCAGTAAAGTACAGGCAGCACAACGCAGCACGTGCGCTATTCAATCTACTGTTGTTCCTTTTGTTACTGTTAATGCTGCTCACGAAATATATTTAGGCATACATATATTTTATGCAACGGAAATGTACAAAAACTTTTGCGTTCGCAAAGCAATGACATTTTGATTAATAAAGGCCATCAAATTTTAATAAATAAGTGACGTTACTTAAATAAAATTGAATTCTAGTTCTAGACTTTTTTTCCAATTAGAGACATATGGCAGTTACAAATTAAATTTTAATATCATCGTGCTCTTTTCAATAAATATATTGAATTACATGCAATTGATGCAGAAATATCAGGTATCACGAAATTTGAATCTCATGTTCGCGCTCAAACGGGAGAAAACCGGTCAAAACTCTACGGATTTTGCAACCAGGATTTAATTTACTTCTGTTCAAGCTGCTTATGGTGGATACGTTTTCATTTATTTCGAGAACTGATTTTATTTTTATGGCGAAAGCGAAGCAGGTCTTATTACATCCTCAATTTTATGTATGCTTTTCCTACTATTCTTTCTTATGCATGCATTACTCACTATGCCTTCCCATCTGGTATGAAATTTATTACGTAGTCTCTCATTCTCTACTTTTCCAATGTATAAACCTAATTTTTGTCGTAAAAGTCTTCCATACAGTGAAAATCTACTCATAAAGTGGAAATCTAAAATAGTGCGTCTTCGTTTTACTCTGCATCCACTTTTCACACTAACTTCTTTAGCCAAATCAGAGTAAAACACACTCGCCCATCACTTCTACCACCCCACCACTCTTCACCTCCACTCCACCCCACCACTTCACCCCACAAATCCATCACACCACTCCGAAAAATGCTGCTCATCATTATACAAAACCTCTTACCACTCAACTGACTCCACTTCATATCACTTCTTGCTACATCACTCCACCTGCCCATCTCCATCTCCCTCATTTCACTCCTCTTCTCCAATCAAAGTAAACCTCCTTCTCTTTCTTTTCAACCACTTTTCCCCAACTCCAACTCTTTCTCCCCTCATAAACCGCCACACCCTCCCTCTCTCACCCTACTTCCTTACCTCCACTCACCCTCACCACCTCTCATTCAACCTCATTTTCCTTACATCCCCACTCATCCCCATAATCTCTCATCCCCATTTCCATCGTCCACTTTGCTTACTCACCCCACTTTGCTTACCCCCACTCGCTTCAACTCCACTTTCCTTAGCCCCTCTGCCCTTGATTCCTACTCCCCTCTCCCTTTTACCCTCTCTTCACTCACTCCTTCTCACCCCTCACTCCTCACTCCTCATCCCCTCTCCACTCACCTTCTCGCACCCCTCATCCCCTTCTCCAGTCACCCCTCACCCCTCATCCCCTTCTCTCCACCCCTCACCCCTCACCCCCGGCGAGTGTTTTGCCAGTCTTCCAATTATCGAGTCCATCACAATGCAATCTACCGCCGCCGCAACTGAGGTCTTTTGTAGCTTCCCTCGACCGCAGCTGCCGCAGCTACACCAGCAGCTATATATGCAACAGCGGCAGCTGTATACTCACCAGCAGCAGGCGTATACGCTGCAGCAGATTTATTCGCAGCGGCAGCTGTATACTCACCAACAGCCGTATACGCAGGAGCTGTATACCCACCAGCAACAGGCGTAAACGCATTTGCAGCCTTATACACAGCAGCAGCCGTATACGCAGCAGCAGCCGTATACGCAGCAGCAGCGTATTTGCATCAGCAGCCGTATATGCAGTAGCAGCCGTATATGCAGTAGCCGCCTTATACGCACCAGCAGCTGTATACGCAGAAGCAGCCGTATACGCCCCAGTAGCAGCCGTATCCGCAGAATTATGCGTATCATCCACATCACCAGCAGCAGCTTTATACATCCACATCACCAGCAGTATCACTTATTATTAAATGTCATCAAGTAGCATCATCCACATCACCAGCAGCAGCCTTATACGCAGTAGCAGCAGCCGTAAACGCATAAGCATGCGTATCACCCACATCAGTCATTCATGAACATGAGTTAATCCCGTGATTTTCTCCGCGCAGATTATTCGGGACTACGGGACACTGCGCGGCGTGCAACAAAGTCATACCAGCCTTCGAGATGGTCATGCGGGCCAAGAGCAACGTCTACCATCTGGAGTGTTTTGCGTGTCAGCAGTGCAACCACAGGTGAGGGGGTGAGGGTGGTGAGGGTGATGCGTGTCAGCAGTGCAACCACAGGTGAGGGTAGTGAGGGTGGTGAGGGTAGTGTGTGTTGTGCCACCTCGCTATAGTGCTAGTGATGGTGTGCCTATTAAGGGAAGAATGACGATGATGTTGTGAATGATGATGATGTTGTTATCATTATTATTATTAATATTATTATTATTATTATTATTATTATTATTATCATTATTGTTATTATTATTATTATTATTATGCGTACTTCAGAGCTGCTTATAAATTATGTTCCGGAGAACAGTTTTTAGTACTGGTAAGTGAATGACGTCACAGTGCAGATTCCTGTATAACTACTAAATTTTTCTCCCAATAAAAATGCAATTGCCTTTACAGTTAAACTAATCATTATTTCTACCATTGAATCTACCATAAATCCTACCATTGAACCTATCATTGATTTTAACATTAAATCTATCGTAAATTTTACTGTTAAATTTGATTTTATTTCTACCATCAATTCTAACATTGACTAATATTAAGTACTACACTTATTCTACCATTTATTATTCCATTAATCCAACTATTAGTTCAGTGGAAGCTATGTGCAATCAATGGAAGCTCTTAAGCGATCAGCTCTTTTAAAGTCAGGCGAGGGGAATGGGGGAAGCTTACGGGGATCTGANTATTTGTAGGAGGAGTTGTCGCTGAAGCAATAAACGCTGTACACAAGGGGGGGCCAAGGGGGGCCATGGGAGGCACAAGCAGAGGGGGGGGTCCAACACTCCTTGCGCCCTGATATTAAAAAAGTTGTTGTATTTTATAGAGAGCATCGCTGGTGATGGTTTGTTTTATTGGTGAGCTCTGTGATGCTGATAGTGATGATGGTGATGATTGTGTGGTGCTGATTGTGATGATGGTGATGTTAGTGATGATTGTGATGATAGTGTGATGCATGGTGATGATATTGATGTTATGTTTGGTGATGATAGCAATGGTAGTGTGATGCATGGTGATGATGTTGCGGTGCTCTGTAATTCCAATCACCCGTTGCAATATTTATGTCTCAGCATCCCCTCACTCCCCTCACATCCCCCCTCCTCTGGCAGTTCTTCCCCACTACCACGGCTACGTTCTGTTACCCCTCCTCAACCCATTGCATCCCCTCATCCCAACCCATGAACCCTAATTTTTTAAACCCCTTGGACTCCCCTACCCTCTCATCCCTTATCCCCCCCTTATCCCTCCGGCTCCACTCAGCCCATTTCATCCCCTCGTCCCAACCGTATTTTGAACCCCTCTTACCCCCAGCCCCTCATCCCTCCCCTTTTCCCCAGTTTTTTATATTAACTGCCGGCGCCAGCAAATGCAAATCTTTCCATTTTGCGGTGAGTTCGGCGCATGCAGCTGCTGCTGCAGATGTAGAGGAGCTTGCAGCAACTGTTGTGCAGCTGTTGTCTCCATTAGTGACGGCTGTCAACAGCTGCACCAGCTACCAATAAATGCAGCTGCGAGAGTCAGCTCAGTTTGGACGCATTCCCCAACCTAGGGGAGTTACGTGCGAATGAGGTGGGGAAGATTTTGGGGACTTTTTGGATGCAAACGTGAAAATAAATAATTTTTTATAAAAGGTTCATTGGGAAATTTTTTGAGAAGAATAAAAGTTTGCAAACACGAGGCGAAATTGAAGGAATATCCATCTTAATTAAATATGTATAGAAAAAAAACGAAGGTTTTTTTCCCCAGTGAGAGTGTTTCGGGGGGAATATCGGAGGATGATTTAGGCGTTCCCGTGACAGCAAATTAGGGGATGCCGGGTTGGGGATGCGTGGGGCTTCTTGCTCGTCGCCTCCCCACCACGCTTCCCCAGATCGCTTAGTGTGATATTTGATTCGGTCGCTTTAATCGCATTCCATCTGGAATTGAAAGCGTAATGTTTGCGTCTTATCTGAAATGGATTTCGGGAATAGCATTGTGGCGGCCGCGTCGGGGAGGGTGGGGAAGATGGGCAGGGAAAATAAGAGCCGATGAGGCCATCAATGATCCAAAAAATCCTATAGAAAATGTTAGAAAAATACCTTGATATCAAAAGTATCATCAGATACTATAAAGATATCAAAAATAATATATGAGGATGAGATATAAAAAATAATGAAAATAGGGCCCGGGCATCGAAAAATTGGTAATTCTGTAAAAGGCCCGGGCCTTTTTAAGGCCAGTTAAGTGGATGAATATGCAATTCTAATCACCCTGCCTTTATTGAGGCCTCAAACAAGAGAAACTTGGCCCCAAATAGCGCCTCTCGTTGGGACCACTGCTCAAGGGGCCTCCGCTATTGGGCCAGGGCCCATTATTTGTAGGAGGAGTTGTCGCTGAAGCAATAAACGCTGTACACAAGGGGGGGCCAAGGGGGGCCATGGGAGGCACAAGCAGAGGGGGGGGTCCAACACTCCTTGCGCCCCGATATTAAAAAAGTTGTTGTATTTTATAGAGAGCATCGCTGGTGATGGTTTGTTTTATTGGTGAGCTCTGTGATGCTGATAGTGATGATGGCGATGATAGTGTCGTGCTGATGGTGATGATATCGATGGTGATGTGATGCATGATGGTGATGATAGTGTGGTGCATGGTGTTGACGATGTTGTGGTGCTGATGGTGATGATAGTGCTGATGGTGATGATGGTGCTGTGTACTGCAAGCTGATTACTCATTACATTCATCCTGTGATATGTCCTTGGTGAAAACTGTGCTGATGGTCTGAAGGTCTATATTACTACTCTCACNCAATTATATAAAATTTCTATTCATATTTAAAAGACACATTATATTCTGAGTTGAAGTCTGCGCATGACGTTGAGATGACCAGCGTTTACCCTCAGCTCGGGCGTCTGAGGGTATGACTGCCCTCAGCGCCTGCCCTCGGCTGAGGGCATGAGCCCTCTTTAATGACCTCTCGTTAGTGCCTCATTAGGCCTAATTGGGCCGCCGACTTTACAAACTTGCTCCTTATGTGCAACTTTTTGGCCTCTCAAATTCCTCAATGCGCGCTCGATAGGCCGGCCAGCGGACGAGTTGTGCAAATTGGAGAGGCGGCCTAGGCCTCTTCTGGCCTGGGTAGGCCTATTGAGTGACGTGGCTAGTGCCACTGGTAATGACAGGGCTAGTGCCATTAAAAGTCGAACGGCTAATGTCACTAATAGTGGCATGAGTGGCGTCATTAATAGTGGCGTGGCTGGTGCCAATAATAGTGGAAAGGCTAGTTTCATTAATAGTCGCAAGGCTAGTTTCATTAATAGTTGCATGGGTGGTGTCACTAATAGTGGCATGACTAGTGTCACTAGTAGTGACATGGCTAATGTCATTTATAGTGGCATGGCTGGTGCCATTAATAGTGACATGGCTAGTGCCGTATATAGTGGCTTGACTGGTGTCACTAATTGTGGCATGGCTAGTGCCAATAATAGTTGCTCATTGCTAGTGTTCATTCGTTGGTTCAAACTCCCTTCTTCCCCACACCCATCTTTTCCCTTACTTCATTCCACTATTGTAACAACAACAGGTTTACTTTTTTTGAATCCTTATCTCAATTTTACATTATTCTATCCTCCTCACTATTGGGGACAACGATATTTATTCGTTCCCCAACTCCCCAAGGCACAACTTGTCCAGCTGACCTCTGAGTGGCGTGAGATATCCCCATGGGGAGAGTAGTCTTCCCCAGGGGGACATTGGCATGTCACTCTGACCAGCGTGCAATGCTACACAGGACACACGCTAGGACAAAATATTTTATTGAGTGTTGCTGTGATGTGGATGCTGTGTCCCAGTGCAATGGATGTTATATGTTGCAGTGCAGTGCAGAGCGTGACTGCGGTGCTGCTGGGAAACTGAGTATTTTTGGACTCACTATTGAGATTCGATATTATGATTCATTCACATTCAATTCGAATCTTCAAATATTTTCGAATTTGAGTTTTCAAGTCGTGCTGCTACGACTAATATAGATACCGGTATAAATTATAGTTTAGGCAACGTTAAATACTTCAATAACATTACGGTTTTCATTATTTATACCACAAAATATGGACAGCCGCCATAGAATTTCCAATGGTAAATATATATCCATAAATTCTTGTAAATAAATCCCAGGGTAAAAAAACGGCTTTTATTTAGGCTCGAAATCTCGCGAACCGCACTTGGATTTATTGACATCAACCAACTGAGCTGAAATCCTGATTTTTGCGGAGTTGTTTTCCACTTTTCCCGCCGAAAGAAAGAACTCCTCCCCAACCCTTGGGGATATTCTCCTTCCTCCCCCGCTCCCCCGATGCGATCGAGTGAATTTCAGACTCGAAACTAAGCCGTAAATTTAGTAGTGTCCCCCCGGACTGGACCGAGGTAACACGACTCCCACATTTACGTTCCCCTTAATCCCTCATTTCCTCAACTAACCTCATATATATTTATTTCCTTAACTCCCTTCTATCCCTCATTTCATTATATCCTATCTTTCCCTGGTTTTCTTAACTTTCCCCAATCTTCATCCTAAATTTTCCCACATTTAAAAATTATACCCTTATTTTCCTCCTGCCACTCAATTACATTTCCAAGTTTCACTGCCACTCTTTCCGTTCCAAATAACCTTCTTCTGTCAATTACTGTAGCCCGTTCATCCTCTTGATAAATCCTTACTCTTATTAAGTCTCACTCTCATTAACTCCAGTGATAAAATTACATATGTTTCAATTATACAATCCCCAAATAATATTTGCGTGGCACCCTTAACCCGCAACTTCTGGCAACATCGTCGATCGAGCTCTGGAACCGTTAACGGTTCTAAACTTCTATTTAGAATTGAGGCGTGCTGCTGTTCGGGTGACTCTAAAGATACTCTAGGATATCTTTCAAATAACCACTGGGTGATTGTGCTCAATGTCTGCGCGCTATCGACGTGTACCAAGAGATTTATCAGCTGTGCAGTGCAATGCTGCACAACAGTTTTGTACGGCTTC